TGTCGATTTAAGAGCATGGACAATGTCAAGTGGTTGATGCCTGTGTTAGGCTTGAACTTAGTCTTAGCGTCGGGCTCAACTAGAAATGACATGTTCGATGATTTGTTCATGATCATGGGCGTCAACCCCCCCCCCCCCAAAAAAAAAATAAAAAATAAAAAAATAAAAAAAAAAAATAAAAAAAAATAAAAAATAAATAAATAAATAAAAAATAAAAAATAAAAAAATAAATAAATAAAATCAAGGCGGGGGCCGGGGGACACAATATCAAATGTTTCCGTTCACCCCCCATGTGTGTTTTTACACCAATCCTTTCTCAGGTAGAAGTTCATATTACGAATACATTTATACAAATATACTAGGTAAATATGATTGATTTTCAGTAAAATGAGAACAAAAAAATAAATGAACCAAATTTGTAAGCCAAAGTAGTACTTTCTTAGAAGTGAATATGCTTCTGGATTAGTAAATGCTTGAATGTTTATTAACTAAAATGATGTTTCAGCAGTATCTAGTGTGTTTACAAGCAGATCTTTATATTTATAATTCATGTAATTGATTTTCAACGTTAAATTCAAACTTTTTTTCATTGATGAAAATATGTTACTTTTATGAAGCAAGTAGTAGTCTTCACCCCCTTACACCCCTTACCTTTATTTGTCTGGTGAAACGCAATACCTTTTCTACTTAATTTTTGGCATTTCCATTTTAGTTTGCATCAGTTTAGAACAACAACCACCATATTTATATCCAACATTTTGTTAATTCACTAATGGGGTTGATGAGGTTGTTTCAACATTATGTTAATAAATCTTTGAAGTCGATATTTCTAAATCTTACATTCACATTTAGTCTACAATATTTATATGAGTAACAATAGTAACTAAATGTGACATTTATGAATATTTATGAAATATATTTTTTGTTGCTGAGTTTTTCATTCCCCCAAAACACTATTTTTGGAGCTGCTGCTGTAAGTAAGTACTTGAGAACTTGCTAGCCGCGGCAAGTGACATGTGTTATCATATTTAAAGTGAAAGTTTATGAATGCGGTATTGAGTAATTTAATACTTAAGCTATACATTTTACTTATCTAGCTTATGCTTTCACTTAAAAGTTGTTATAGTTGATAATTATTTATATTTTTGAATACGGCGTATTGTTTGTGCGTTCATTTTTTCATGAACCTATTTTTACCCTGGGCTGTCAACAATACAGTAACGCACTGACATTTTAAGCGTATATTTTAATTGATTGATTGACTTATTTATTCGTCCACAATGTGGAAATATGCTTCCCAACGGCATTACAATAATACAAGAAACAGAGTACAATAATATGAAACATGCAAAACAATGAAGCAAACAATTTCAGAACAGAGAAGATCTCGTCATTTCACATAAATAACAGTAATGAACAGTTTATGAATTAGAATAAGTATGATCGTTATTGCTATTGTTATTAGTAATATTATTATTATTATAATTAGTATTATTATTATTATCTCTTAAAGGCCCACTGCACTACTTGTAGCTACTTGCACCCTCTATATAACAACCAAAGCCTAATCGGTGACCACTGGTCCCCCATGAACCTCTTTTCTTATGTTAACTGAGAGCTGAGTTGATGAGATAACCACCTGTCCAGTGACCTTGCAGAGCGCTCTAATCCCTCCTGTAAACTATGGCAGATAAGCTTTAACGAATTGGTTGAACACAGGCGCGTACACAGGGGGGGGGGGGGGGGGGGGGGGTTGGGGGGGGGGTTAACCTCCCCCCTTAGGTATTTTTATGTGTGTAACCCCCCCCCCCCCCATCACCACCCTAACCCCCTCCCCCTTTGGATTTTTTTTTGTCTAAAAAGGTGACCTTACTCCCCCCCCCCAACAGAGCCAAATGTCAAATCTTCAAATTTCGAGACCAAAAAAAAAAAAGTGTCCTCTTACCCCCCCCCCCCCCCCGCTTGTTCAGCGGCTGGATGAGTCGTTGCGATTTTTTTGGGACCAAAAAAAAAAAAAGTGTCCTCTTACCCCCCCCCCCCCCCCCCCCCCCCCCCCCCCCCCCCCCCCCCCCCCCGCTTATTCAGCGGCTGGCTGAGTCATTGCGAAATTTTCGGCCCGATTTATTAATGTGAAAGTACGCGCCTGGTTGAACATGTGGATAGAATTTGGTACGAATGATTGGCGGAAGCGTGCTCGGTTTGTGCGTGGGACGTTTAGTCGAATTCCAGAACGGTTGAAAGAATACTGGGTGTTTATAAGAGGGTGACTTTGATCTTTCATGATTTTTTTGTTTGTTTTGGACATGACTCTCTGTTCGAACAAACAATTTATATTAGTCAAATCATGCCCTATCACTCTCTGTGCCGCTCGTCACACCCGGTCTAAGCGAGTCCGGTTTTTCTGGGTCCCATTTCCGTAAAAACAAATCACGTTGTATGTTAGAATGCTTTGTATTAATGACTGATAAAACAAAATCAGAATTGTTCTGTCAACTTGAATAGTTTTCATCATTCTCAGAAAGAAGAGTCTTTGGTTTCCCTTGTTACACAGTGTTTGTGTGTTTTTAGTCCAGTCTGAAAAATTAGAACGATAACACAGAAAACATTTTGAAATGCATAATCAGTATTCGGAATTGTATTTCATTTTGTAGATTAGACTACACATGATATGAATTACAATTCAGCATTATTATTTCGAATTGTCACTGCCATGGGTCAAAGCCGTTGCACTTTAAAAGAAGCCTTGAGTTATTTGATGTATTACATGTACGTGTCTTCTTTTTAAACAAACATGTTCGGTAAAATACTGATTAGAAGAAATCTCAAATGTTATGAATAAATCAATTATTACTAGTATTACATGATGATCAGTATCTATAGTTAATTATGTATTAAGTAAAGGGGTTATATTTAAATATACTTTCAGTTTGAATTCAGTTTGTTCAAAACATAATTTAATCAGGTGTTATTGTAAGGATTGCTAACAAACATGACAAACTATATTCTTGAACTCGAATCGTATATAGCCCGCAACTTTCGTGTTATTATGCCTACACACAGAGACAAATAGGTGTAAATTCACTCCCTATAGGGAGTAAGTGCTTGTCGCATAAGCGACACCCCTCAGGGAGTAATTTGTTTTATTTTTATAAGAAGGTGTAAATTTGCACCACAAGGTTATGATTTTACTCCCTTTAAGGAGTGAAATTTGCACCCAATGGTGCTTAATTATCACCTTTTGGATCCATTTTCATGAAAAATTGGGTTCAAATTTACACCCGTAGGGTTGAATTTTATACCCTTTATGATCGATTCGACACCCTGTGGGGAGTAGATCTACACCCTTCTTATGCACAGCATCAACCAATTATTGATCATCCCTCGAGCAATCAATCATCCATGCTTCGTAATCACCTAACAGTCACTGATTCTCGCCCTTTTGTCTACGTTTCACTGCTCTAAAGAAATCAGACCAGAATGTCGAGTTATATGTCGAAAGGCTTTAATGCTTACCTAAACAACAGTTAGATTGAACTCAACACAAGTGCAGACTGTAAGAACCAACACGTATAAGAAGACAATTATGTACTAGTTAGTAAAACAACACTTCTGCTAATTTAATTAAATCATCAAATATAACCTTCGGTACAACCCTTATTCTTGATTGGATAACTTTCACACAAATAATATGCCCAAATGAAACATGATAATTCCCTAACATGACTAAAATATGTAAATTATGCTAATTTTCCTTCATTTGTCAGTACCTATATCGACACGATGCGCCATTGCTGTAGCTCATGCGCATATGCACTGACCAATCAGAGCTCGTCTGACTAAAATAGGGGATTATAAATAGTAGGATTATAACGCGGAGTTATAACCCTATTAATTTCTAGGTTTGCCGTAGCGATTATACACGCCGTAGCCATGCCGTAGAGCGGTTCCACGGCGATCGTACGTCAGGCGTACGGTGGCCTTGCGTTTTATATAGTCCAGGGTTGAAGCGGTAGCATCAGTCTGGCCGCATGGTCGCCGTATGGTTTACCCTTCGGCCGCCTTACGGGCACCTTGCGGTTACCGGGTGTCTGCCTTATTTTGTCAAAAACCTACGGCGGCCGCAGATTTTCTGTCTCCAAAAGTTCAAATACGCCGTGCGGCTACAATAACAAAATTATGTGACCGCTACCGTATGGTGCTCACCAGCTTTTAAACCGTAGTATTCTAGCCTGTTTGAGCTCTCCGTGTTTTAATGTCCATCCCATAGTCTACATGTAAATGACTTTATATTATTTCCTGTGACTTCCTGACTTCCTGTATGATATGCATTTTTTTTAATGGTACCTCTTTGGTAACTGTACAGTGTGTCCCAGAAAAAACGAAACCGAGAAGTATCGAAGTTTTATCATAACTTAATCACAATTATAAATAATAAATGACACATATTTGGAAAGCTTAGATCCTCCTCTTTCATTTGATGTAACTCGTATGATTCATATTTATATGAGTGATTAAAAGCAATTTGAAGAGAGGAAACTAAAAAGTCATTTGGCGGGCGGTATCTGAATTTCAAGGAGAAAATCACGTTTCTAGAAAGTTCAATTTCTGCTCTTTTATATGACACCTCAATCAGGAAAAGTGAGCCAGTAATAACAAAGTTCTGTTTGTTTAAAGTAAGGCTTGCATTGCCATAATTTGATCAAACGAGTTCGTTTTTACTGGCTGCCTGCCGTTGCAACGAACAGAGTTGACAAAAGACTTAACTCCGTTTCGTTGATGATCAGCCATGCACAAAGAAGACGAAAGACCTGATGCATGGCTGATCTTCAACGAAACGGAGTTTTCTTAATACTAGATTCCTTTCTCAACTGACAGGCAAGGAGATTTCACGACATACAGTATGCTCATGTTTATAAAAAAGAAATATTTTTTTCTTGAAATCCAGTGATATCCGAGAACTGAAATTATAGTGTTGTCGTATTAAATTTTATCGTTTATTAGGTGCGATGTCTCCCAAAAAAATGTTCCTGCTGATCAATCTTTTCATCGTTTGTTTAATCGGATTGTGGCTTGATTGTGGACTGGGATCTTGTAATTCCGTGCACTCTTTCATACAGGCAAGTTCATTCTTTCCAGTTCATATTTCTAATTCTTGTTTCAGAAGAAACGTCATTTCGATTGCGTTTATTACCAAACAAATTGGCAACATTAATTGCGACGTATCTTGCGAGCTTCTTTCCAATTTGTTCTGTACAGAAAATTTCATGAACTTGCATTTTCTTCGTTATTGATGACGGTATATATTTTTGTCCATATAGGGGTTGAATAGAAAGATATTTGCAATAATTTCATTTGAGGTGCATGTATGATTGCATATTTTCTAGAATGAAAATTAAACAATTCTGATTTTTTTTCTTTTTCTTCAAAACCTCAAATTTGACAATTATTATTCATTAACAAACTAAATGCGGTTGTTTTTGTTTTTTGCGCTAGTTAATCTTGGATGATTTCATAGGAATTGAAGAACCAACATATTTAATTGAAACAGTTTTGTAGTTGTTAACAATAAGGCCCGTCATTTTCTTTAATGAATAGAGGCCAATATGAGTGTTCATGTACAGATTCATAATGATTGAACTTTTAATATTAATTTGTTTCAGGCTACTGGAATCGCACACATAGATGTATTTAGACCGTGCTTACAACCAGTACTTTACGATTCATCGGTTGATGATACAGGTGTTGTCTGCCCCGTGGGGAAAGGTTCATGCCCAGTGACTCATCTCAAAGATGCGATACAACGAAGCCCGCCCTCCAACGTACGATGGACAACGGGGGAGAATCTGACAAGTGCCAAGTACAGCGACAATAAAATCAGTAATGCAAAAACGGTATACTTCCTACATGATCGGCTCGAGTTACTAATCCAGGCCCGCGATGGATGTGGACGGCTGAAACGATATGGTGGTGATTACTTCCGGGCTAAGATATTCACCAAGAATTCAACATTCTCTGCGAGTTCTGCAACGGATGGAGAAGTGATCGATCTAGGAAATGGGACTTACAGGGCTCTCTTTACTCTGAAATGGCCAGGGAAGGTCCACGTTAAGGTGACCTTGGTTCATCCCAGTGAAGCGGTCGATGTGATTCGCCGTTTCCGCGACGCAGCTCCAGCGCGGTACGTTTACCGCGGCAAGTTTGTGTCCGCAGACGGTACGCACAAAGAAGAGACTTTCTGCAACATTGTACTCTGTGGACATCCGGTAAGGGGCCTTTTATCCTTCATTATTTTTAACAACAATTATAATTGTAAATGCATTTAACAATTTGTATAATGGTACAGACTGGATTGAACCTTTGAACAAAATATGAGTGGATGCCAGGAATGTAAAGATTAAATATAGTAGGTAGTATCCTGGAACTGACGAATTTTCGTCACCATAATTACACTTCCGCCCCCTCTCTCTCTTTCTTTCTCTCTCTCCCCCCCCCCCCCCCCCCGTGGTGTACAGAAAGTTTCAAGTGGTTCGGGTTCGCTAATCTCAGGCTCTGAAATTGTACTTTTAAAATAAAGCAATTTCTCACGCTTTGTATACAACGTGTAAATCGTTCAGACTCCATCATTTTAGGTGGAAGTGCCAAGTAATATTAAAGCTTATCTGCCATAGTTTACAGGAGGGATTAGATCGCCCTGCAAGGTCACTGGACAGGTGGTTATCTCATCAATTCAGCTCTCAGTTAACATAAGAAAAAGAGGATCATGGGGGACCAATGGTCACCGATTAGGCATTGTTTGTTATATAAAGGGCGCAAGTAGCTACAAGTAGTGCAGTGGGCCTTTAATGATGATGATAATGATAATAATAATAATAATAGTAGTGGGTTCTTGTATAGCTCTCATGTCCGTCATACGTGACACTCCTAATAATAAATAACAATAACATGAGATTTGTAAGTCGCCCAATCCACTTGAAATCAAATGCTCCAGGCGCATTCCTGCAATAAAGGAAAATAGAACAAACAAAATTGAAAGAGAACAATCAATTATAGTATAAACCGAATCAAACATATTACCTTGACTCATATTTTACAGCTTGACTTATGCAACTTTACCGATAAGGCTACGGGATCTCCCTGGTTTTGCTACATGCCCAAATCACCGAAACTTAAGTGCAGCGACTGGCGGGAACATCGATGTGACTCCAGCACGGCAGGCTGGTATGATGCGTCGCTTTTATCATCGCATGACAAGTTAACCTTGATGTAAGTAGGCCTACATGCAGTCAAATTCAATCTTTAAGAGTAAAAGTAGCTGATAGCAAGGATAGGAAAGGCCTAGTTGATAAATAAGCGAGCGAGTAGGTATGAAGATGTGAATATATTGAGTAGTCAGTATATACATCGGTGGATCATGGAATCTCTGGCATGGCCGGGGTGGAGGCGGGCAAAGAGGGGTCACAAGTTAAACAATTATGTGACGGGTAGAAAACAAAACAAAGGGTCATCAGTATTTTCCGGGATCCGCCACTGACATATCATAAGACATATTGAACTTACCGTGATTAATGCTACTTTTCCATAAATGTGATGATGACCAGTGGCGGCGATCCCAGGCGGGACGGGGACACGCCCCCTCAATTTGTTGAGGGGGATCATCCTCCCCCCCCCCCCTCTTCCCGGGAAAATTTGAAAAAGTGCAAACAAAAAATGTATAGCAGATACTGACCAAAGACTGCATCACCATTTTAGGCTCTGGAGTGTCCAAGGGTGCAGCGTTTAGACTATATAAAAATGCAAATATCTTCTGGATCTGTCGCTACGCTCCCTCGCATAATATCCTTCAAAGTGTACGAGTAAATATTGTAGAAAATCTGTATTCCGTTGGTATTACCTGTGAGGGGGTAGTCACTTCCGTCACCTTCGCCCCTCTCGTTCACTGTGCTCCCTCGTCCCTCGCATTTCGTCCGTCCCCCCCCCCCCCCGGTCATGAAAAGAAATCGCCTCCCCTGATGATGACCAGGGGGGTGTTTCACAAAGGCTAAGATCAACTCTAAGTGAGACTTAACTATGGCAGGATGTTCATGTCACTGGTCGCTCTCACCATTGGTCTCTCAATTATTTTTTTCTTCAATAATGAACTATCAAAAAAGGTTAATTATGTAGATTTGTGACCACGATTTGTACGACCCATGAGAAACCAATGCCAGGAACGGTTAAAGGAACTAGTGGCATCAAAGGCATGTCATAGTTAAGTTCAACTTAAAGTCGATCTTAGTCTTTGTGAAACACTCCCCAGGGCTTTTCTATGTGCCGGAAGCGCATGCCCCTCCTATCAATTTGAGAAGAATGGAAGAGAGCAAAAGAGAAAGATGGAGAAATTGAATTTGGGAGGGGAAATGACGAGAAAAGAAGCTGACAGATATACGAATTACGTGACAAACTTCAATTCTACATCAGTTTAAGTTTGAGGAATGTGTTTTTTCCTTCAATCAACAGTCCAAAAAGTGATCTTCCTACGAAAATTCAGGTCGAAGTCCGAGGAACGATAAGAAGTAAGTGCAGATTTGATTTAGAATAGATACTTACTACCGTAGTCCGTATAATCCTGATATTGATTGCTATCGGTTCAGATAAAAATTGCACATCGAATCGGTTTAAAATATAAAATTTTTAGATCTGGTCCGAGCAGGCTCTGGGAGGTTCTTGCTCATCACAGCGAGTTAAGGTAAATTAACTTGCTCTGTTGCTCAGAGTGATTTGACACGGTCATTTATTAGGAGAGTTCAGCCAATCCCGCTTGAGTTGGGCACAATATGGCGAAATCTGCTTCGTTGAGCAAGCACAAACAAAAAAATCAACACCCTGATTTGACCAAGGAGTTTTAAGAGCTGGAGACCCAACTGGCAACACGACCGAGCGAGATTCTTTTTGCAATTTTATTAGTCTAAACGCTGCACTCTTGGGCCTTCCGGAGCCTAAAAATGTGTTGCGGTCATTATTCAGTATATGCTATACAATTTGTTTTGCACTTTTTCAAATTTTCCAGGGGGGGGGGGGGGACGATGCCCCCCTACAAAAATGAGGGAGGACGTGTCCCCCCGTCCCCCTTGGATCGCCGCCCCTGTTTACAGGTGTGCTGTTATCTTTGATGTCCGAGTTTCGAAGCCGTCAATAGCCAATATCATTGGAAAGCTTGAGTAGTGATTATTGTCACAAAGAAATATCCTTAATATTTCACTTTTTATTTGAACTAACAAGGGGAAAATCTAACAGATGATAAAATATGAATACAACAGTCTTATTGTGTCAAGAAATTGTTTTACATTGTATGATGACAGCTTTAATTTGTGAAAAATAGTAAAACTTTACGGTCCTAAAACCTGCAATTTGACACTTTTCCGATTACTTGCGGCTCACGAAAATAAAAAGTGAATTTGTTCGTCCACAGTTCTTTATGATGTTATATGTCAGATTAGTGCCCACACATGCCCAGTCGAGTAATTTTGATTAATATTTCAGGAAATTTTGCTCTATTCTCTTTCACTTGCCTCCTGTAAAGGTAAGCACTGTGCACTGCTCGTATTATCAGACGAGTGGTAGCGAAAAGTAATTAACATTACGAAAGCATATTTCCCTTTGAAAGTGGCCCGATAGTTTGCAGCTAGGCAGGAATCTGTTGCCTACGTATCTGCAAGGAAGGTCCAATCAAGCACATGCCTGACATATTTTCTCCTGGCGGCATCGAAGATGGTACAAAGGGAATGAGCTAGATAGGAATCCATCTCTTAAAACTTCTTGATTTGACAAACTGAAACCAAGTTGGCCAAACGCCCTATGTATCGACATGTCTTGCAATGTACTTAGTTTGCACTTTTTTTAAAGGAAAAATCACATCCTAGAAAGTATTGAACAATCAAGATCCTGTGCCGATATAAGAACCAATCTTTTTTTCTTTTTTTCTTTCCATGTTTATTCGCCTGTACTTGTACTTGGAACTGATGGGGGGGGGGGGGGGACGGACAAAATATAACCACCAGCTCCATATTGCACTCTTAAGTTGACCTCATACAATCTTATTACAATGTAGGCAATTTTTATTAAACATTACCAAACAAAAACAAAAATAGACAAGACAAAATACGTACAATTTACATCGAAAGTGAACAAATACAGACAGAAAAGAGTTCAGCATGTACCCAACTGGTCATATTACATGTATGTAGAAACACCCTATATAAAATATACAAATGAAAAGAGCGTTTACCCAGAATATAAAGCATACACAATAATTAGAACCAATCTTGGTCTACTTGTTGAAATCTAAATATTAACAAAAGTTTCTTTCTATAAATTTGTTCACATATCCAGATTCATCTGAACCAAAATCGGCATCAGAGAATGCGACCGAAAAAGTTATAAATCTTCCCATCTGTACAAATGAGTGCAATATTGGAAACCTCCTCACCTCTGGCTACTATTTCAACGACATTTGGTACAATCCATCCTGCAGAATTCTCAATTTCCCGCTCGACGAAATGCGAAATTGTGTCTCGGGGAAGAAGCTGTATTTCTTGGGAGATTCGACGATCCGCCAGCTCTTCGAGTTCTACGTGGAGCGACTTGGACCAGGATTAAAGAAGACGCCACCTGGTCCAGAACCACAATGGCACGTCGGTCCAACGCGGGTGTTAGACCAGGTCTTCAACATCAGTATGATGTTTCGTTTCCATGCGTACCCGATAGGGAGGAACGAATGGGCCACAGTGAAGGACATCCATTACATAGCGAACGAAGTTGACAACATTGCTGGTGATGAAAATTCGGTGGTTGTAATCTCACTTTGGTCCCATTTCACCCACCAACCGGAGTGGTTTTTCGCGCAACGAATGCGAACAATCATGGCGGCCGTTGCGCGTCTGCGGGAGCGCAGCCCGTCCACGCTCGTGGTCTTCAAGGGTGCGAACACGCGCGAACATATTAGCGAAAAGCAACGTCTGTATCACTCTGATTGGCTGGCCAGACGTATGGAATACATTATACGACGAGATATTGCCGAAAACATAGCTTTCATGGACTCTTGGAGCATGTCAAGTGCGCAATTAATCGCGGACGATGTACATCCAGGAGGTTCACATGTTAACAACCTAAGTAATCAGTTATTAACATTCATGTGTGGTACATAGGAATTCATATTCGAACTCACTATGCAAGTGTTATCTCGCAATTTTCATAATTTATTGTCCGTAGAGACGGGTAGCCCGAGGGTCTCAGGCAATACTTTAAGCATGCGTGGCCAAGAAAACGCGTACAAAGAAGGTGTTTTTTTATTTTTATAGATTGGACGCGGTCCGCGTGGTGCCGCAATAAGGGGTTAGAAACTGTCAATTTTGGGTCATTTTAAAGAAAACTGGTACTTTTTCAAAATGGTTTAAAATCCTGCTGTACACGCCGGTATACGCATTAACGGGTATATTTCTAGCCCTTAGGGCCGAACTGGGGAAGAAGAAGTAGGCCTAATAACTGCCTATTGGCCTACAGCTGGTCCCTTATATTTTGTTTTACATATATAAACTCATTTGGAAGTGTACAGGTTGATGTTATTGCTTCTATGTTGAACAAAACCTGTTACATTGTGAGATTATGTAGGCATGCAGATGATACCACTTTAACTCTAAGTGGAAGTATTGTAGCTGAGGTTAAACAAAAACTTTATTTCGCATTACAAGGATTAATGTATGGATTAATAATAAATAATAATAATTAACCGTTCTTGTATAACGCATAACACATAGTAATAAAACATGTCCCTGAGCACTCTAAAGAAAAACACAACAGAATACAAAGACAAGATGTACTGGGTAACAGACAAAAACCGCCTTGTAATAAACACAGAACAAAAACTTGCGTCATGGTCATAGCTTCGCGTGCAAATTTGAATAAAATAACAACCTTCAACGTTTCTATGAATGGAAAGGTATTGAAAAGAATTAACGTCGTCAAATGTCTTGGTATATTAATTGATGAATAATATTGAATTGGTCCAAGCACGTTGACAAAGTAACAAAAGTAACGCAAAGAAATATCAATGTAGTAAAACGAGCTAAGGACTATTTACCAATAACATCTTTAAAGTTGCTGTATAATGCACTGGTATTGCCTCACTTTGATTATTGTTCCTCTGTGTGGTCAAATCGGTATCGGGAACAAACAGATAAACTCAAAAATTTCAAAAAACTATGCTAGAATAATTTCAAACAACAGTTACGAGACTCCATCCAGTGAATTGATTAGCAATCTGAAACGGATGCGAATTGAGAAACGTTTTGAATTTCAGCGTGTTAGTATGATGTACAAATGCAGACATCATTTGGCGCCATCCTATTTACAAGAAAGTTTAATTAAAGTAAGTGACATTCATCAGCAAAATACGAGGCAGGCAGTTGAAGGTGTACTTTCTGTGCCAAAGTATAAAACAGAATACTTTAAACATAGCCCCCTTGTTTCTTCCTTGAAATGCTAGAGCGCCGCAATGGTAGCACAGCTAAAGCCGGGGTAATAATCTCCAAGTTTGGAAGCGCTTAGTGATTCTAATAAGCGCTTTATAAAAACTGAGTATTATTATTATTATTATTATTCAATAATAGCATGGAATCAGCTTGACAGATCATTGAGAATGACAAGCTATGTGAACACCTTTAAATACATGTTCAAACAATCTTGTATTATCGATTCCCAATAAGATAAAATGACAAGAGGAGGTTTGTTTAGTGTCTGTTTTTTTTTAGCACTGAATGTAGGACGATATAATGCTTTTCAAATTTACAGAATGGTTTCATATAATTTATTATCAGTTATAAATACATTTGTATTTTAATGTTAGTTAAGAGTGTACATTAAATTACTAAACTAGATTTCATGCATTAATTTTTCATACACTGTTGGTCATAAAGGTGGTATAATCATTTTTATCCCAATTTATTGAAAGATTTTGACAATGATTTATTCCTAATAGATCTAAAAATAATCATGCTTGACAATCTAGTTAAGCTCAAATATAACTTTATTACTTGATACATACTTATCAGTACGTGAGACTCGCACGGTATAGCCATGGACCTACTTGTAGTCGGTCGATTGTATAGCATCCATCGTTGTGCTCGTGTTGTTTTCTATGTGACATATCACCACAAGGTGGCGCTGTTTGCTTAGGACTAATGAGATATATATATGCATATCACTACATCCCCCTTTTCATCAAATTAATACAAAGAATACATACATATTTTTGTTAAACTATCAGCCCCGATACAATGTGAAGTCACTATTCAAATCCAGCCAGGTTTGAGATTAAATGAGGTTTACCTCAGAAATAAAGTTATGTTATTTTATTTTTCCTGTTAAATGCCGTACACGATTGTTATTTTCTTCATGCCACAAAGTTCAACATACATGCAATCATCCTATAAGTTATTGTGCTTGATGAATGAACTTGAAATATGTTATTTTATTTTGCCGTTACATGCCGTACATGGTTGTTATTTTCTTCATGCCTCACAAATTTCAACATACATGCAATCATTCTATATTAAAGTTATTATGCTTGATGAATGAACTTGAATTATGTTATTTTATTTTACTGTTACATGTCGTACATGATTGTAATTTTCTTCATGCCACAAAGTTCAACATACATGCAATAATTCTATATCAAATTTATTATGCTTGATGAATGAACTTGAATTATGTTATTTTATTTTACTGTTACATGCCGTACATGATTGTTATTTTATTCATGCCACAAAGTTCAACATACATGCAATCGTTCTATAAAGTTATTATGCTTGATGAATGAACTTGAATTATGTTATTTTATTTTACCGTTACATGCCGTACATGATTGTTATTTTCTTCATGCCACAAAGTTCAACATACATGCAATCATTCTATAAGTTATTATGCTTGATGAATGAACTTAAATTATGTTATTTTATTTAACCGTTACATGCCGTACATGATTGTTATTTTCTTCATGCCACAAAGTTCAACATACATGCAATTATCTATAAGTTATTATGCTTGATGAATGAACTTGAATTATGTTATTTTATTTTACCGTTACTTGCCGTACATGATTGTTATTTTCTTCATGCCACACAGTTCAACATACATGCAATCATTCTCTAAGTTATTATGTTTGATGGATGAACTTGAATTATGTTATGTTATTTTACCGTTACTTCTTAAATCTATTTATATGTAACACCAGTGGATGTGGAGAACCTCATGACAGAATGGACATTCTTTTTAATAGAAAATCCTCAAGCGTCCGCTGGTGGCATTTTCATTGTCTTGTAACTCTTAATGTTATATGCTCTGTGTTGTCATTTCTATTTTGTTTATACATGTACCTGGAAATCAAATAAATTTCAAAGTTCAAAGTTCAAAAATAGTGCAGTTCCCATTTGTATACTCGAGTGTTCGTTTCAGTTGAGTTCTTTCAGTATTTGCTTCCTTTTTAATGAACTTGATTGTTCGCTTTTCAACACGATCCTCTGTCAAACGTTACAACTTCAAAAGTAATGGTGTTTTCCTTTTTTTACAACACTTAAGATGTAAATGAGTAACAGGGTAGAATGTCTGTTACTCCAACTGTACCAGAGGAATGTTCTGCCTCTTGGATAGTAAAGTTTTCCTTCTTCTTCTTTTTGGATAATTTATTTTGTACATGTCCTAAGATTGCAGCCTTTTGGAATGCGCTACGCAGAAGAGTGACTGATTTTAATCCAGATTATTTTCTTACAGGCAAACTTATTTTATTTGGAATTACCGAACCAAAAAGTCAACCCCCCTCAGCTTTTAATTGTATTACTTTACTTGGTAAACAATTCATTCTACGTTGTAAATATCAAGAGAGTATACCTAGTTTGAAACAATTTAATAATTATATTTTGTCTTATAAATCCACTGAAGAAGATATTGCAAAAAAGAAAAACAAATTTGAGAAGCATATTGCGAAGTGGCAAAACATCAACAAGTATTTCCGCATTGCATCATGATAAATGTTTTATATTATGTGCAAAACGTTTCAAGGGATAAATTCATTTGTTTTTGTTACATTTTTTGTTTTATTCATGTTGGGGTGTATTTGATGTACTATGCTCTATTATGTAATAGAAAATGTCAGATTATATCATGCGTTATGCCCCGGCGGTGCAGCCGGGCCGACTACGGACCGGCGGGGGAGGGAGGGGCTATAAATGTTCTTTACTTCTTGGCCTCTCTCTTTCCATTAAGTGTCGGTCTGATGGTCGTATCGTCTGTGCGGGCGGGGTATACAGAAGTACCATGCTATGTTTTTTAATGTTACACTGAAATGTGAAACCACAAGATTGTAAGTGTGAAATAATATGATTATTCATTATTTTTCTGCAAAACGATGTAACGCATATTTTGTAAATCATTGTGTTTTCTGACCAATAAAACTTAAGATAAAACAAAAAAATAATAATAATAGTTGAAGACACTAGCTACATGCATATATAACTATAAAAAACTAATATGAGTGAAGGGGTTGACTACCCAACACTCCAACAGCACAAAAGGAGATTAGTCTGCCCCTTTTAACTTGTACAGTAATTTACTACATGCATTTACAAATCTAACATAACAGGACGTCTTCGTACTCTCAAAGGACAGCAACGTTCACGCTCATGAGATGGTGTACTCTCAATGGGGCTTCTTGGCGATGCACGTCTCGCGAATTGTTTATAGCTTCTGCTGCGATTTCGCTGTCTCCGTAGTCATTGACAATTACGCTTTGTTCACGTCGTGGTCGCTTCTGAAGATAACGTCTTTTCGACGATAACGACTCCCTCCTTCACTTTCGATGATGTATGAGCGACGTGATTTGTCTTTCTTGATGACGACCGCTGGTTTCCACACCTTACCATTTTAGAAGAAAACTCACTCACCAGGTTGTCAGATCTTTGGATCCCCTGCCATAGAACTGCTTTTGACATTCTTGCATTTCCTTCTTCCTTTCCAGCAGGAGCTCTTGATGCACAGGTTGTGGTCCAAATAGTCTGCTCGAAGTGGGTAGCTTGGTGTTGGTCCTTCTGCCCATTAGCATCTCTACAGGCGATGGCAGCCCGTCTCCTGGTATGTTTCTAATAGGCCAGAAGAGCTAAATGTACGTCTTCACCTTCTTCAAGAGACTTTCAGCTATCCCATTGACTGTTGGTATATTGGAGAAGATGTGGTGTGTCTTAATCCATACTCGACACAAAATTGCTGGAATTCTGCACTGGCATATTGTGGTCCAATATCTGATATCATCTCTTCAGGTATGCCATGTCGTGCAAACAGCTGCAAGAATACTGCTATCACGGGGGTACTTGTACTTTTCAGCTTGATGATTTCAAAGTAGTTGGAATAAAAGTCTCCAGGATGAGATAAATAGACCCGGCTAACTCAAACAGACCACTTCCAACTTTTTGCCATGATCT